TAACAATTGATTGATACCATTTCTTTTTTTTTTAAATTATAAATTAAAATACATAAAAATACTCATTTTCGAAAAAAAATCGTCAGAATAATTATTTTAGGTATTTTTAACTAATTTACACAATTTAAAAAAAAAAAAAAAAAACTGTTTTAAGTGTTTAATAATTAAAAATAATTATTTTATTTTATAATATATATTTGTTTATTAAAATAATATCAGTTCGAATTAAAGACTAGATGTTTCACACTAAAATATATTTATTATTTAAGCGTACTCTGTATTTATAATACCTCTGCATATAAGACTGAATTTTTTTATTGTTTCTTGTAAATGTTCTTTTCCTCTTTGAATGCTAAAAAAAAAATTATAAAAATCAATGTTATTGTTTTAAATTTAATTTAATTTCAAATTTGTGTAAAATAACGTATTTACTTTATCATTATTCTTATAAAATTTTCTCTTTGTTGTAATGTTGTTCTTGGACAAATCTCTTTTGTTACAGCTTCTCTCAGCCATTGTGAATGATTTTCACAATAATTGGTATTCAAAGCAAGTATTATGCCAGCAAGAGGTTCTATGTTGAATCTGGATGCTTCGCCAGCTGAAGGAATATTGAAATTCTTTAAGGTAAGTATCAATTTTTTATATATTTTTGTTTTTTAAAAACCAACTTACCAATGCAAGATATTATTTGCAAAACTAATTGTTGTCCGTAAGCGATAACGACAGATTTGAGATTTTCAATATCACCACTTTGTGTTATGAAATTAACCAAAAATAAAGAAGCAGATTTTACAGTTGGTAGCTCTGGAACAGCTAATGTTAGAGTCGCTGGAAAAAAAGAAAAATCCCAAAGTATTCTTTTTAATTTTTTTTTTAAATTACATAATCACTATTGTAAATTTACCGCATTGAAAGAGCAATGATAAATTCGTTGAAACAATTAATTTAGGAATCCTTTTTAAAATTTGACTAAGAAAACTAAAAATGGCTTCCAGTAATGCAGTATGATCGTGGAGGTTTTGAGCGGTTGATAAATTTGTCATTGCAACTGTACAAAGTTCGTTTGTTAAAAATTGTAGCATCGGTCTATATTTTTCATCTTTTCCAAATAATGTACAAAGCTAAAAAAACATTAAAATTATTCATAACAGATATTTATTATTATCATTATTATAATTAATAGTAATCACCGTTTTGCTTAAATCTAAAGCGGCTGGTTGAGGATGAATCCTATAAGTTGAAATTATAAGATCTAAAATTTCCGTTACGACAGACTGAGAATCTTCCATTAATGTCGTCACCGATTGTTGCAAAACCACAAATAAAGCCTGTGACACATAAAAATAAATTAGACGAGTAATTAATTTTTTTTTTAAAAATAAATTTATTGTGATAACGGATAAATGTTACGAATCCTGTTACCTGCATGACTTGTTCATCTGAAGACCAAGAATTTGCGAGTGATTTAATTACCGGTAGTAATTTTTGAAGAATTAATAAAACTGGTTGAGGTTCGTTGTTTTGTGAATTCATATCAAATTGTTGTTCGGAATTTGTTTCTAATTTTGTATTTAATGTAGCGCTTAATACTCCAACCATTTTTAAACAGTGAAGAATACTTCCTTTAACCTGAGTTGACGGCTAACAAAAAAAAAAAAAAAAAAAAAAAAATTTTTTTGACACACTGATAAGGGCAAACTAATTTATTGTTCAAGTTCTCTTTAATTACCTCTTGCAAAGCCAAAGAGTTCAATTGATCCATATAGGGAGTTAATATAAGATTTAAATAGTGCATAATTGTGTCGAGAGGCAAACTAGATAGTAATAAACCTACGGTACACATTAGACGTTGACAGTCTTTAAGTTTTAGTCTACCTCCGTGCAAAGCTTTCTAAAATTATAAAAAAAAATATACAATGTTATATTTTCGACTATTTAGTATTTTAAAATTATAAATTAGTAAAACAATAGTGAAATTATCATATTGCTTGCTCGCAAACCTGACTAGCATCTAATATTAAAGATGAGTACGGTTTAATATCGGTTTGACAATCTCTGGCTATATCTTTCAAAGCCATCGTGGCACTAGATGTTGTTTCAGGTACATTTAATCCTAATATAATTAAAGGCAAAACATGTTCTAAAGTGTAACTATGAGCAGAGATCCAATTAGCATAAGCACCTATAAATTTTATCGTTATTGTAAAACATTAAATGAAAAACATTTGGAACCAAAAATAAAATAAAAAAAATTCATTAATTTACCTATAGTATCTAACGCTGTAGAAAAAACTTTAGGATCTAACCTTTGAAAGGGTAAATTTCTAATGTACTGAAATAAATATGGGAGAAAGCAATTTTCTTCCAAATCGACATTTTCTGACACCGAACATAAACTAAAGAGACAAGCTTCAAGCTCTTGCCATTTTAAATCGTTCAAATTAATTTTTTCTAATTTAGCTTTAATTAAATATATTGTTGTTTCGCGTAGAATCGTGTGACAATACATCTGTTTAAAAACATAAAGTTTTTAATTTGCCTCAATGTCAATAATTTTTTAAAATTTAATTAATACATACTAGTGTATCACTGATATCTTGTCGATAACATCTAAAAAATTCTAAATCTTGTTTTGTAAAATTTAATTCCGGTTCTGGTAACTGAGCTTTAACTATTAACACATTAACTAACTCTTTATAAACTGGCCCTAAATACTTCATGTAAAGTTCACTATCTTCAGTGGATGATAACACAATTTCATCCTGAAAATACATAATTTAGTTAGATTGATGGTATGATATTGACAAACACAAATTAAAAAAAATTAATTTACCTGTAAAACATACCAGAAACCAAAAGTAAGCCTACTATATGTTTCATGTTTTGGATAATGTCCTTTAGCACCTGAACATTGCAAAATGTGTGAAATTAATGTTAAAACTTGTTGTCTTGTTTCTTCGCTTTGCTTTATCCAATGTAAACATTGCCTAGAATGGGTGCCCCCAAATGTTACAAAAAGATGATATATGTTGCTAATTAGTTTCTGAAACATTTTAAACTTGACAAAGTTCAGAAATTCAAAATTTACATTTTAATAAACTTGTTTTATTATCAAAAATGAACCTGGTCTCCTAATTCCTCTAGAATTAATTCTTTCTTCAATATTTCTCCAAACTGCAAAATATTTTCTAAAAATTGAAGTAAATACTTTGGGTATTTATGATTTTCCGGAAGATCGACAACTACTTTTAAAAATTCTAAAGCTTTTTCACAGATGCTAAAAAAAAAAATTTTTCTTTTAATATTTAAATGAATAAAGACTCACAATTTTAGGGCATATGTTTTTTTGACATTACCTTTCATGTTGTTTATGAGTATTAAAAGCCAAATTTACTATAATGTTACACAAGTTTTGATATTCAGTAAAGGGAACTCCTACAGTCAGCCATGATGCAGCACATTTTATTGCTTGTAAAACTACTTCTTCGATTGTGTAATTAGACAAAACCTTTTGTAATAACATAATAACTGAAGGTGAATTTTCAATTAAATGTTGTCTTAAAAGATTTTTGTGATGTTGATGAAAATGCATTGATGAAAACTACAATGAAATTGTTATTCTATTGCATTATTAAAAATTTTTATATTTTTTTTTTTGTAAAACTTAGCAAGATACATATTTCAAATAAAAATAATCAAAATTATCAAGTTTAAAACATTAAAAATAAATTAAAAATTTACCTCTTCTGGTAGAACAGTAAGAATTTCAAATAAAACCCATAAAATTTTTTCTTCAGGGATTTGTGGCAAATTTTCAGGATTAAAAATTTGAAGTAATGCAGGTAATGCATTTGGCCATTTTTCTGGGCATATTTGTAAAAAATAAGAGGATAACTAAAATTTAAATGTTGAATATGTGTGTTAGTAGTAAAATAACAAACAACATTTTCTTTTTTAAAACAATAAGAATTAAAAATTTTATAATTAAATTTTAATAAGTTAAAAATTAAATACATACAGAAATACATAATCTGCTAAGTATTATTTTGGGACCTGTTGTGTAAATTATTATTGTTGTTAATAATTTTTCTTTTAATAAAGAAGCACTATCATTATTTAACTCATCTAACGATCTTTTAATTTTAGTGTGAAGAGTTGTAGCAGCAAAAAATTGAACTTCTGACGCCTGTAAGTATTATTAAAAGTTTAAAAATATATTTTTAACCGAATAAAATTCAAAAAAATTAAATCAAAAAAAAAAAGGATTCAAAAATATTAAAAAAAAAAAAGTAAAATGTGTTTATATTTACTTTATGTGTTTGCAGTAATTCCCATACGAAAAACCAAGCCGCTGGACTGTTTTTGGCCTCTTCTAATATTCTGTGTGCCTGAGCTTGAGTAGCTTTGTCACTTTGATAAAATTGACAAATAGTTCTCTCTAATGTTTCTACAGAAAAATCCATTTTCTGAAATAAATAAAATTAACACACCTGATAGTGTATGCAATGATACACATACAGTTGTCACTGTCTCCATCAATGCCACTATGTATTTACCACAGACCTAAAAAAAATAATAGAGAGTCTTCCATCAGTAAAAACTTCCTTAATAATAACGTGTTCTATTCATGAATTTTACTTTAAAAATGTTTATTAAATACCAATTTACTTTTTTTACGTTTTAAATATGCAATTAAAATTAAATAATTATGTTACATGAATAAGTTTATCCCGTGTAATTCGTACAAAATAAAAACAGTAAGTAATCCATGGTTTTAGTGTCAGTTGCACAGTCAAAGGTAAATAGTGCTTTCTCAATTTTTAAAATTGAGAATGAGTTGAATTTGTAAATTATTTAATATTATTTTTATAAATTTATTTATAAAATATAAAATATTAATTATAAACTTGGTACGCTTGAGAGTGTCAACACTCTAAAGTAGCTGTAAATAAAAATGGCTGTTACAAGTTGGATGTTACGGGAAAGAACATTTAGAACGGGTAGATCATTCAGTAGATGTAAGTATAAACTTCTTTAGAAAAGTTAAATTTTAAAATATTTAGGAATTATTTTATTATATAGTTCATAATATTTACAGATAAAAGCGAAAATGAAGAAGATACTATTGATCTCGATATTAGTAAAGGTAAAGTTGACGACCGTTTGCTATACATTTTTAATTTAAGATTTTTAAGGTTTAAAAAAAAAAACTTTATCTATATAATGCTATTTTAAAAATTAAGAAATACTTTGAATTATTTTTTAAATGTTTTTTTTTTTTTAAATATACCTTACTATAAATATTTAAAAATTTTTAAATTATTAATTTTTTACTCTTCTTGGTATGTTTAGAAAGTGTTAAACATAAAAAATTTTGTTTTTATCAGATATCAATGAAAATGCCTATGAAATTTTAACAAACCTTATTAAAAAACAAGGTTTGACAGATGGAAAAAAACTAGGTTACTTAAATATTTTTGCTAAATTAGTAGAACAAGCTGGATCTGGTAATGAAAAATTTACTATGATTAAAGAGGATATGCTATGTTGGTAAGTTTATTGGACTAATTCAATTTATTTTTTTTAATATACTCTAATTATTCTTAAATCTGATTTTAGTTTAAAAGTTGGACTAGTAAGTGAAAACACTTTAGTGAGAGCTGGGGGATTAAGAGTTGTTAGGTATTTTATTAGTACCCCAGACGATGTGATTTTGTTAAATAAACTACAGATTCCTAATTTAATAGCAAGGTAATGCAATTATCAATATTACATAAATTTGAATATCAACTAATTACTTTAAATGACATTTATTATGGTTTCTTAATTACAGAAGTATAGACCTTGTTTTAAAAAATGATCACGAAAGAATTCAAGCTTTCAGACTTGCTTTAAAAATATTAACTATATGTCCGAAACACTTTTCAACAGCTGTCACTAGGTCTTTAGTATCTTTGGCGAATAGCATTAGTGAAAACAAGGATAGAATGATTAATTCTTGTTTAGCAATTCTTTGCCAACTGTGTAAGTATATTCATTTTATTTTATTATATTATTTGTATAATGCATTTAAACATGCTTTTCTTTTTTTTTTAATTTTACAAATTATTTAATTTAAAATTTTTTTTTTTTCAGGTGTTTTAAATCCAGAACTTTTTTTGGAATGTAACGGACAGACTGCATTACTCAGAAGTACCTTGGAAATTTTTCACCCTCGAATAAATGAATGTCTAGTTGGTTGTTTATTATTTTTAATGAATAAACCTGAAACAAGGTTTAAAGCCAATATTCAATTAGAATATTTAACTAGTATTTATTGTGATTGGCAGAGAAATAGGTATGATAAAGTTCATTTTTTTTAAAACATTTTTAATTGATAAGTTTTTTAATCTTGTGGTTTTTAAAGTTTAATTCATTTTCTATTGTTTTATTTATTTAATAAAGTAAGGCTTTTGATAATTACCTTACTAAGACACTTTTGCTCATTATATTAATGAAAATTTATTAAATTTGTAAAGGAATTACCTTTTAAATTACTCTTAAAGAGCCTAATTTAAATTTTGCTTTCCGAGTTAAAAAATCATAAATAATAACATTTATAACATCCTAATATGTTATTTTATTTCATTGAATTTTTTTTTTTTTTTTTTGTTTGCAGGAATAAGAAAGATCAAAGTAATATTTATACCAGTAGCGTACTTTCAATCTTAGCTGCTCTCAGGACTTGGACTGGAGTTTTTTATTTATGTCAACCTAATAAAGTATCAGGAATGAAAGCGATTGTGGATGTATTGTATTTAAATCAGTTTGAAGTCAGGGTAAGTACTTTAATTTTATACTACTTTACTTTCAAATAAAATGAAAGAATTTTAACTTCTACATACACTCATGAAATATTTGGGTAATTTATATTGTACAATATAACATAGAGTGTATTGTATTTAATTAAATAATACTGTTTTTTTTATGATAACAGAAAGCTATTTTAGAATTATTATATGAAATATTTGGACTTGATTACGAAGAGTGGACTGATGAAATGGATATCGCTTTAAAAAGTATTGATCCTTCCAAATATCAAGATACATGGAGTTTAAACGACAAATTTATAGCTGCAGAGGGTAAAGATTTATTACCTCATAAAGCTTGTACCAGGTAAAATTAAAAAATATTTTAAACATTTTTAACATATAACACTAATTTACCAGAGTTTTTTTTTGTCATTTAATTTTACTATATTTCAGACCTAATATTACTGAAATTCATACAGCATTAATCGTTTACGGTCTTATCGAATGCGGATTATTGTCTGCTTTAGTCGAAGTTGCAATCACAACAGACGCCATTCTTTCAGTTCCGGCTGTAATTCTTTTAGGTAAGTTTTTATACGTTTTTTTTTTTTTTTTACCTATTTGCATATACTTGTACCTAAATTTAAAAAAAAAAATAATTTTAGGTTTCGTTTTACATTTATGTCATAAATTATTACCGCCTGAAATAATTGAATTGAGTCCAGGTCTTCCTACTTTAATACACTATGCAGCTAACGGTTCTCCCAAAGAAAAAACGCAAGCTTTAATGGCGGTTTCGTATTTGTGTAAAATTCACGAATTACTTAAAAATAGACCGGCTCCTTTCAGTTTATATCTTCATCAATTACTAAGCCTAAGTAATAATTTTTATTATAAAGTTTTTAATTTTTTAATTTCGACTTTTTTTTTTTTTTGATTAATGATACAAGATAAAATTTAGATAATAGATATAAAAAAAAAAAAGAAATAAAAGGAAGTGAAATAGTTGGAAAACAGTCAAAAACGACGAAAAAAAAATTTATTGACATGCAAATAAAAAACGTTGAAGACCACATAAAAGATTCTAGAGTTTTGAATGTAACGGATTTTAAAAAATGGAATTGGAATCACATTTTAACAAGTCTCGAGGTAAAATTGAAACGAGGACCATTACTTATACTTAAATAATGCATTTAAAGTCAATAATTTTATTAATTTTATTTACAGTGTCAAAATGAATCATTTATCAGATTGGATGACTTGCAGTATAAAAATTTTATACAGAAATTAGTGTCATTTTATAAGCCATCGAGTAACGAGTATTGTAATATAAAATATAATAGTAAAACGCAGAATAATAATATTTATACAATAACTTCATTTGCGCTGTGGAATTTTTTATTACAATCGGAGGATGTACGTACATTTACAAATAAAAAAAAAAAAAAACTGGGAAAAATTTTTGCATAATTTAATATTTAATAAAATTATTTTCAGGGAGAAGCAAGGAAAATTTTAACGGATTTTCTCACAGATCTTAATTTAAAATTTAAAGAAATAGTCTGTCAATCAAACATTCACGAAATATTATTTAGTCCACAGCAATTGAATAGTACCCTAAGCCAACATTATTTTCTCATGGTGGGATATTTATTGAGTTCCGATAATGGAACGCAGGTTTTAACAAATTCTTCCATTCTTCAAACTTTAATGGAAATTGTTAAAAATTTCAAACACGAGTATTACGTTAAATTAATTTTATCGTCCTTAAATTATAATTCTAGTGAGGCAGCCAGGTAATGTTTATATTCATGCACATATAAAATAAATAAGAATTTGTTTTTGAAATTCTCGTATATTTTTTTTAGGGATATATTAAGCAAAGCTATGACATCCACGGTGGATAACGTTAGGATATACGCCACAGAATTGCTTCTCGTTTTAGCAAGAACCGACGTCAATAATTTTAGTCAATGGGGTTTAGATTTACTTATCGGTCAAATATACGACGAAAATAAAGTTATTGCAAATGCGAGCATTAATATTTTGCACGAATTAAGTTACGATCAAGTTAGTTTTAAAAAAACTTTCCCCGTCAAAATTAATAATAATAATAATTATTATTATGTTTTAAATATTTATTATAATTATTTATATTTTTTAAAGAAATATTTAGAGTCGCTCATCAGTATAAGACCTGCTCTTTTACATTTGGGAGATAAAGGACATTTATTATTAATTAGATTTCTTTCCACTGTAACCGGTTTTACTTTTTTAAGCGATGCAAATTTCGTTCAAAATGAATTGGAAAATTGGGAAAAAGAATACAATCACAGGTATGTGGTCCCCCCCTCCCACTTTTCTTTTCCATTATTTAAAAAAGTTTTTATAAGTAATGATGATGAGACGACAATTGTCAGGTATGTTGGTCTTATGGAAGCTGATGTTCACGATTCTTTAACTCTTTTCCAAAGAAACGAAGAAGGAAAATATTTAAAAAGATTTTCAAATTCTAAACATAAATGGAAAGATACATTTATTTATCCTCATTTATATGGAGAATTGTCTCAACACGAAAAAGGATTTCAAGCATTGGTTCAAAATGGATTCATTTTTAAAATGATTCAAGTACATACTTTATGATTTTTTTTTTCGGTTTTGAAATTTACAAAATATTTTTAGTAGTTACGTTTTATTAATTATTTAAACCGTTACTATTTAGACCATTCAAAATGGTTATTGCAACACGGATGCAGAAATTATGGAATTGAAATCTAGCTTATGGGGTATAAGTAACATGGCAACTTCCGTTTTGGGACTTGAGCTGATCGAGCAAGAAAATCTTGTACAAACGATTGTAAATATTGCTCAAAATTGTTCTGTTTTATCCGTTCGTGCCACGGCATTTTATTCAATTTGTCTTATTTCAACCACAATCGGTGGAGCAAATGCTTTATCAAAATATGGTAAGTTTTATTTTATTTATTTATTTTTTTTCTTACAATTAATCTAATTTTTTTTTTCTTTTTTTTTTAGGTTGGTATTCCGTAAGACATAATCGCTGTGAAAAATGGCCTATATTAGAAACTGAATATTTACTCATGGATGAAGCTAACGATTCGAAAACTCAAGATGATTACGAATCTTTGTCTTCAGTCGTAACTTACGAATCCGATGATGCGGATTCAATCATACTCGACTGTCAAAAATCATCCGTCGATGTAAGATCTCCTTTGTTCAAAGTTAAAAAAGCATCCACGTTACCGACGGGAATGGTACCTGATTTCGAGGAAAAGCGGAAACGCGAAAGAAGGAGCACAATGGAATCGCAGAGTTCGGAAGGAAGCGAAGAAGTGGTCAAAAGTCCAGGAATTCCGATTTTGAGAAGAAATCATCATCAAAGGAGTTATTCCGAAAGTTTTTACAAAAAAAAAAGACATTCGTCCGATACTTCATTCGACGGAAACGAAAGTATTTAACAATCGAACTTTACAGTTAATTAAATAATTAAAATATTTTTCTACTGCTAACGTTAAAAGTTTTGTTTCAGCTCATCAGAAACTCAGTTTTCAAGATGCGATCGGTCTTGCCACATTACAATCATTACACAGTTATCGAAGACCGGATATAATGTCTTTCGTCAATTCGGAATTGGAACAACCTGATTTTAGAAAAAGATTTTCTTCTCAAGAAAGAATATCAAATTCACCGTAAGATATTTTATTTTTATATGAAAAGAGTTTACATCCAATCACGCTGAAAATTTTTTTTGTCAAAAAAATGTTTTCATTTCAGAAAATCCGATTTCGAAGCTCATAATCCACCGAAACTTTTCGCGAATACGAGTTCAACGTCGTTGAGTAGTTTGGTTCATAAAACTCTCTCTCAAACTCCAGATGTTAAAAATCCTTCAAATTTTTCTTACAAAGGAATTTCATTACCTAAAGTTTTAGTAGATTTTTTCGTTATGACAACGGATGTAAGTGATAAAAAGGAGGAAAGAAAAGATTTGAGAAAAAGAGGATCTCACAGTTTTAGCGAAATGGAACAAGTTAAAGAATTGGGTAAACGGTTATTATTTATTTGAATTTTAAATTTTAATTTTGTATGTATATATTAAAATAAAATTATTTTTAAATTCAGAAGAAATCGAAGATGAAGATTCCATACCGAGTTCATCGTCGGATGACACAGAATCCGGAGAATCAAAGAAATCGGGAAAAAAATTTAAGAAAAGTAATCGAATTCGCCATAATCCGACGACGTGCATTGCGTGCTGTATGAAAGTATTCAAAGGAAAAAGGCAAAGGAAAATTTCGAGCGAAAGTTATCGATTACGAACGGGTAATTTACGAACGTGAAAAAGTCGAGTGAAAAGTTGAATCGGTTTTCACCGATAGATTTTCTTTTTTTTTTTTTACTTTTTCAGATACGGAGAGTTCACAGGGAAATCCTAGCGAAACATCACCCATTCAAATAAATGGCGATCTAAATCGTGTCAAAACGAGAATCCCTTTC